GACGCAGCGAGCATGCTGAAGCTCCGCTCTTCCCTCTCCCTCCTGCCGGCAAAGAGCTGATCGGCGGCAGGGAGATGGGGAGGGAAGGGAACGTAGCACGCTGAGGGAAGAGGCGGGGGGGGAGGAGCTTGGCTGCTGGCAGAGCCTGCCCTGCTGCAGCAGGAGCCGGTAGCATCAAGCTTCTGCCCCCACAGGAGAGAGCAGGGTGGTGGTGGAGAAGAGCGGGCTGGGGCCCCTTTGGACTGTGGACCCGGCGCCATGGTGCCACTGGCACCATGGTAAATCCGGTACGGAGAACAATGCATGAGGAGCCTGGGTTCCTAACTTGGGGCTGGGAGTTCTACTGGGTAGCAGGCCACCTAAGGTTACATGCTACAATACTCAGCACTGTGGTGCCTAAATTCCTTTGAGGATCTAGCTCTTTGGGTCTTCAGGTCTTTCATCCTCACCATCATGCAAAAGCACCAATTTGGGGTAACCCAGTCCATCAATTTGGGGAAAAAGATATAATGTGGAAGAACTGTCTGACCAAGGGCATCATTTCCCATTTTGTCAAGGATGAGGGCTTTGCCTCTTTTCTAACACTAAAGCAAAGCTATAACCTGACACCCTGAGCAGAGTGGCAGTGTTTACAACAAAAACACTTGCTAACTATCAAATTGGTCCAGATGCCCTAGGACTGTCAGAGGCTCTAGAGCTATTGGAAATCTTGGAAATGCTTCATAAACTCCCCACGCCCTTGTCCACTAGGTCTGCTTTACTAATGAAGAGGAACTTGATTGGTCTGGGGTTGTTTGTGAAAGAATGAGAAAGGGGTTATCACAGCCCTTAAAATGATCCTAGTGGCAAAGCATATCACAGAATGTTAAAAATGTTTCTGTGGAACTCAGGTTATTACAGCAAAAGATTCTATTCAACATGTACTGGATGCCACAAAAGTTGTGCAAGATGCAGGCCTTGTCCTCTGATGTTGTTGGTGCTGTAAATAAGGAGAAAGGAACCCTAGTGCACATGCTATGGGACTGTCCAATAGTCAGGCAGCTGTGGAAAAGAGGTGGACAGAAGAGTGAAAACAGTGCTTGGCTTCAGCAACCAAACCTCAGCTGAAAGTTATATCCTAGGTTATGTACCTGCTATTCTGGGTTGAACTCCATCACAAACACTTTGGTTCTTGAGGACTGCAATGATTACGAATGGTTTTATAAGAATGGAATAGGCTTATGCCCAGATTAGAGCAGTGATATTTTGACCTGGCTGAGTAGTGAAAGAAAGAATATATATGTATAAGAATAAGAAAGCTTATAGATGTAGAGAGCAATGATACGAATTTGAAATTCGTCCCCCATTTCTAGATACATTTGGCTAAAGAATACTGAGATAGCTCAAATAATATCAGACTTCCTTTCCACCTGACGTCTCCACTGTTTCCCTCCCATTTCCCACCACCCCATTCCTCCCTCCCTTTCTCCCCTATTTGTGTACATCTTTTATTATTAATTATTATTATTACCTCCACTCTAACAGCTTATGTCTGTGTAACATTGTCTGATTTTGTATTGCAGCTTTGACAAGTTGTAAAGTTGTGTAACTGCATAATTCTATTGACAATCCCCTGAAATGTGCAGTATTGGGTGATGTATATAAGCTGGAAGTCATTTACAATTATGTTATTTTTTCTTTTTTTTCTTTATGAAAAGTAATGAAAAATTAATCACAAGAAAGTTATGAACAGGGGCAAGTTAAACAACAATTCCCAAAAGCAAACGCTGGAATTCCAAAGAATGCCAACAGAAAGCAAAAATTGCTGTCTTATTTGAAGTTATTTGTGCTGGTGGAGTCCTTCACCTCTAAAAACCATCACTACCAATTAGCATCCTGGTTTGCATTCTCAGCAGAGAGGCCAAGAATTGATTGAAGACGGAAAATAAACATCCCTGTCACCTTAGCGGTGGTCCCACCAAAACTGCCTTGAGGCACATTGACAGCAAGTTGGGGGGGAAGTGTACTTTCCTGCTTGGGATGCACTTGTTCGGTTGATGAATAGGCTTTATTTCTAGTGCAGTCAACCTAGCATCTTCACAAGCGAATAATTCAAAAGAAAACAAGAACATAGTCTTCAACCCCATTCTGAGACAGTAACAGTTCAATTCCCAACACAGAATTTACCTTTAATTTCACTGATTTCCATTCTACCTGTGATTAGAACAGCAAAGGATCCACTGGGGATTTCTCTCTGTGGTAGCACACCAAATATGGTTCCATGATATGCAAGCTAGGAATGTTAGTGCCAGTTTAAATGAACAAATTCTTAAATGGATCAAATAAATGCCTGCTTTAGTGGAGGCTTTGTTTGCAAAAGATCAAAAACATTTTTCTTATGCATTGACAGTTAATCATTTGTGTTTTGTGCTTTGAGCTAAGGCCTGCAAATTGGCAGGCCCACCCCAAACGGTTCCAAAAATGTCCTTCTCTGCCCGTAAAGCAGCTTCGAACTGTAGCTCTCTTCCTGCTGTGACCACCTTTTTCACAGCCTGAATCACTTCGGCTGGACCCTTTGTATATTGATTTAGCCATGCTTGGGCTTCTTCTAAAGATCTGGTTTCATCTGAAGACGGCAAAGTTTCCTCAGCCAGCCCGAGATGTACTGCGCTCTCAGGATCCACTTTGAGAGCACCACTTAGCAGCTTCAGGGCAGCACCACTGCCAACGATTTGTACTAGCCTGGCAGCTCCACCCCAGCCTGGTACTAAACCCATTTGCTTGTGGACAAATCTAATCTCGCTTCCTGGAGTCATTAACCTATCAGCGAGAAAAAAATATTCAGTGTTAATCTCTACATGTGATTTATATAAACAACATTAGAGTTGAGCAATGTTTACTGTTTTTTATCCCAACAGTAAAGTATAACTGGATAGCGTGCTAATTACATATATTGTCTAGCCGCTTAAGCATCTTGTACCTGGAATCTCCTAATGCCAGATAGAAACCTATCTAAGCACCATGGGCTTGAGCTCCCACTGACTTCAGCTGGAGTTGTGAGCGCTCAGCACTTCTGTAAGTTGGAAATCAGACCCTATATCCTTTGGCTGCTGTCACACAGCCCTGGTAAAACTCCCTTTGCTGGATACTCACCAGACTACTGTGTTTGGGTCCAACCATACTCGGCCTGTTTGATCTTATGCTTCCCACGATCTAACTAGGCTGCAGCACTGTCTTTTCTTGGCCTCTATGGCACACTTCCTGGTTACATGCTCACTGTTACCCTTTTGTGCAAATGGGACGACATGGCCCAATTGCCCAAGGCCAGTGCTGACCCCCAAGACTCCCCAGTAGCTTGAGTTCACCCTTTCCCAGAGCTCCAACCTCAAGGGCACTCTGGGTTTATAGGTCACCTTTTCAGGGACACATGATAGTTGAAGCAGACAGACAGGCTCTGTAAGAATTAAAAACAATCAATCTTACTATAGCTAGCACAAGGAATATTCTGATCTAGACAAAACAATGAAACTTCTGGACGCATTTCCCTGCTTCAGTTTCCTCACCACTCTTCAGCATTCTTCTAGGGTTACCATATTTGAACATTCAAAAAAGAGGACATTCCATAGGGGTGGGTATTTGCATCAGTATCTACCAACTTGCGTTGTATTAATGTGTTATTATCCTGTTATATATGCTGTGTGCTACATGTCTATATTGATAATATATAAGAAAAAGTGATATGGCCTCCTCACCCTCCCGCCCACTGCTGGCTCCGTCGCCGCTTGTCTCTTCACCCTCCCCGCCCACCCGCCAGCCACTGGCTCCCTCACCACTCGCTTCTTCACCACCACCACGTCTCACCTACTCACCCCTCCTGCTGCAGGTCCCTCTGGCTCCTAGGATCAGGGGATGCCGAAGGATCTCCACTTGCTGCGCCCGCCACAAGCGCGAGCTCCGTGGCTCCCATTGGCTGGGAAAAGCGCCAATGGGAGCTGCTGGAGCCGCGGAGCATGGCTTGCAGGCGCAGGCAGCATGCAGAGACCCCTCTGCCCTGCCCTCCTCCTCCTCCCCCCCCCGTAAGAACCAGAGGGACCTGCCGGGGGGTGAGGTGGGGAGTCCCAGCGGTGCTTACCTGGGGCGGCTCCTGGGAAGCATCCAGCAGGTCCCTCTGGCTCCTAGGGTTGGGTTGGGTTGGGTCGGGTCGGGGGTGTGTGTGTGTGTGTGTGTGTGCGGGTGGCTTTCTGCCTGCTGCCGGCGCTTGCAAGCCCTGCCCCCACAGCTCTGATTGGGCAGGAGGAGCTGGTGGCACACGCGGAGACCCTCTCTGCCTCTGTGGGTGCCGGGAACTGCCCCAGGAAGCGCCGCCAGCCCTGGGACTTTGGTGCACACGGTGAGGTGAGCGGTCCCCGATATCGGGACAAAGGGCGTCCCGACCGATGTGGCAAAATCCCGGACGTTTATAGATATTTAAAAATTCCTCCTGGACGGCGATTTAAGAACCAAAAAGTGGGACATGTCTGGGAAAATATGGATGTATGGTAACCCTACATTCTTCAGGCTTAGTTCAGGGTCCTCTAAGGAGCAGGATCTCCACTCCTGCTCAAAGCTTCTCCTCTGAATCATGGAGTCTCTCTCTACCCCCCTGCTCTGCAACCTGTTTCCTTCCTCCTTCGCTGGCCCCAGAGATAAAAAGACCCCTCTACTACAAAAGCATGCCATTCAATTCCTCTGTCCTGCCCAAGCTGCCCATGCATCTGTGAGCCCCTCTGAGTATCTCAGGGCAGGTCTATACTGCAAATTTGCATCAGCGCAGATGCACTGGTGAAGCCACTCTAAGCAGAGTGGAGACAGCTCTCCCGCCGAGGCATCAACTTTCTAATGTGCTCCGTACCAGGGCCTGCCCCCACTCCACCCCTTCCCACCCCTGCTCTGCCTCTTCCTGCCCCATTCCACCCCGTTCCCCAAGTGCACCCCACTCTCACTCCTCCTCCCTCCCCCCAGCTCCCCCGAACGCCGCTGAACAGCTGATCACTGTATGTATGTATGTATAAATATCTTCTATGTGTTCCATTCTATGCATCCGCTGAAGTAGGCTGTAGCCCATGAAAGCTTATGCTCAAATAAATTTGTTAGTCTCTAAGGTGCCACAAGGACACCTTGTTGTTTTTGCTGATACAGACTAACACGGCTACCACTCTGAAACCTGAGGCAATGGTGTATACAACCAACATGGCAAAGGCACTCAGAGGCAGATTTTCAGACAAAGATGATTATAGAAGGAGTCGAAGTTAAGAATTCGTAGTAATTACAGCTGATTCATGCTGCCAAGTGGATCTCATTAGCTCCAACCATGACTCTCTTTCTGAGGCAAAAGGAACTAGTACTAAGGTAGAGCCCTAGGAACTTTCTAGGGAGACCCTCTCTGCCTCTGTGGGTGCCGGGAACTGCCCCAGGAAGCGCCGCCAGCCCTGGGACTTTGGTGCACACGGTGAGGTGAGCATCATGTCTTTACTATTAGCTTGCCTCTCACCCTACCTTCATTTTGTCTGTTTATCCACCTGATGCATCATGTCATAATCATAGATCATTCGCTTTCAAGAGCCCCAATCCTGTAAAGTTTGTGCTTTACTTTATGAATAGCGCTTAAAATAAGCATGCGCTTAAGTCTCTGCAGTACTGGGACAGGGACTTGTCTTCATTTTGCATGTTTTTTGTAAAATGCATTGATCAGGGCTTTTAGGTGATTCGACAATAGATAATCATTCGTGTTTTTCAATGACTGCTACAATCTCATGTAAAATTGCAAATGCACATTGACTCAGCTAGGGTTTGGGAACAGCAACCTCCAGGCCAGGACCGGCTCCAGGCACCAGCCTTCCAAGCAGGTGCTTGGGGCAGCAGTCAGTGTGTTTTTGCCCCCAAGCAGCGCGCCGAATTGCCGCTGCGGACAGTGGGGGCAGTCTGTGCGCCGTTAGGGTGGCACGCACATTTCCGCCGAGGGGGCAATTTGGCGGCAGCTTTTGTCTTCTGGCTGAAGCTGCCGCCAAATTGCCGCTGCGGCGGAAACGCGCATGCCACCCTAACGGCGCACGGACTGCCCCCTCTGTCCGCGGAGGCAATTCGGCACACTGCTTGGGGCGGCAAAAACAGTAGAGCCAGCCCTGCTCTAGGCCTGTCAAATTGGCTGGAGAAAATGTGCAATAATGTCACAAAAAGTCCAGCTTCATTAGACTAAACTAAAAATCTTTGATGCCCAATGAGCACATGCATGTGCACACACACATACACATATATATTTGAGGTAATTCAGTTTAAAACAATAGTGAGGGGACACTAGAATTTTGTTTCTTATTACAGTGATAAAAGTATTTATTTTCCTGAGCTTCCATCACATAAAAAAGATGAAGGGATTTTGTTCAATCTTCAGAAACCAACATCAGGCCTGGTCTAAAAACTATTTTTGTTTCAATATAACTACGTTGGTTAGGGGTCTGATATTTTTTTAACTGAAATAGTTAACCCGTACCAGCCCTAGTTTGGACATTGTTATACCAGTATAATGGTGCCTTATACTGGCATAGCTTTTTCCCCTTCCCTACTGGAAAAAGCTATACCAACATAAGCACCTTTATACTGCTATAACTGCATCCACGCTAGGGGTTGTTCCACGTTAACTATACTGGTATACTTTAAGTGGTACAACTTGTATGTGTACACAAGGCATTTGGATAGACAACATACAGAGAAAAATTTAGTTGAGTAGTGAATGTTTCAGTAACTTTGAAAATGGAAACAGCTTTGCAACTTTCAGTTTTAGCTTGTACAAATGCCAAGTACAAGGAGGAACAGGTAGTTTACTTGAGAAAATGAATAAAGCTCTTAGTTTTCAATGTCCTTAAGTGACTCTTTGACCCAGGTTTTGCCACTGACTTCAGTGAAGCCAGTATTTCACCCCCAATATCACAGAATCATGAAATCATAGAAATGTAGGGCTGGAAGGGACCTTGAGAAGTCATCAAGTCCCTCTTGGACCACATAAACCCAGATCATCCCTGAAAGGTGTCTGGCCAACCTGTTCTTAAAAACCTGTATGGACGGGGATTCCACAACCTCCCTTGAAAGCCTATTCCAGAGCTTAACTATCCTTATACTAAAAAGTTTTTCCTAATATATAACCTACATTTCTCTTGCACTCATCTTTATTGAATTTCATCTTGTTGATTGCAGACAAATTCTGCAAATTTGTCAAGGTCATTTTTAATTCTAATCCTGTCCCCCAAAGTGCTTGCAACCCCTCCCAGCTTGGTATCAATTGCAAATTTTATAAGCATACTTTCTATTCCATCATCCAAATCATCCCAGGACTGATCCCTGCAGGACCCCTCTAGATATGGCCTCCCTGTTTGATAGTGAACCATTGATAACAACTCTTTGAGTATGATCTTTCAACCACCTTATAGCAATTTCATCTAGACAGCTTTTCCCTTGTTTGCTTAGGAGAACGTCACGTGGGACTGTCTCAAAAACCTTACTAATAAACAAGACATTTCATATCTACTGCCTCTCTCCCCTTTCCCCCCCCCCATCCATTAGGCCACTATCCTTGTCAAAGAAGGAAATTAGGTTGGTTTGGCATGATTTGTTCCTGACAAATCCATGCTGGCTATTCCTTATAACCCTATTTTTCTGTAGGCACTTACAAATTGATTATTTAATAATTTGTTACAGTATCTACAGGTATTAAAGTTAGGCTGACTGGTCTATAATTCCTTGACTCTTTCCCCTTTTAAAGATAGGTACTATGTTTGCCCTTCTCCAGT